ATGGCGCGGAGGTGGGGGGGGGGGGGGGGGGGAAAGCATCTGAAGACGTCACTGCCCATCTCTGATCATATGAATGTTATTACATTCAGGCAAAATGGAACTGCAGTAAAAGGGCAAATTCTCTGCTGGACTCAGCCTCATAGATGCAGTTGTCTGCCCCAATTTACATAGTAGAGAGTCTGACCTTCAGTTTTCAATCCAAGTTGCAAACGAATTTATGGTTCCGGACCATTTGTAGTAGTTTTTAAACTAAGTGACAACAGAGTTTCACATTAAGGCATGTGTCAATTACAAGGAAAAGGATTTTATTGTTTGCTTTGCTTTTCCTCTCAGAATTATACAAATAGCCCCTTCAGGAGAGATTCTTGGCAAAACCACTCATTCAAGGCTTAATAGATTATTTTTGTGAATAAACAGCACATTTGCAAGTCATATGAAGGGACCATTTGTCACAATTATTGCCATAAACATATGTCTGTCTCCTTTGGCAAAACTATTTGCTTCTCACTTTGGAGTCCTAGGAAAACAAATTAACTTCCTTAGGACAAAAGCTTATGTCACCCAAATAGATGTTACACTACTACACAGCCATTGGCATACGCAAAGTCATCATTAATGGCTGGTTCCTGTACCTTCTTTGTGAAAAATGGAGGGTTCTGTGTGACTACGTTTAACATAACTGTTAATGTTTTTCAGCTTGATGCATACTGGGTGAAGAAATAATGTAGTCAAGTAAGCAAGTGTTACTGACCTATCTGAATCAGGCCCACCCATAGAAGAGCCACACACTCATTCCCCACACTTGACAAACCCAGTTCCACTCATAACATGCTTTCAATCATTAGCCAATTGCTCATCTGATTCTGTTCTTAATTCAGGTTCTTATTTGATTTCCCTTTCAGCTTCATCTCACTCCAACATTGTTTAATGGCATGTGCACATCACTGTCACCCATTTAATGGAAGGCTGCCATAGTATTGTTTCTTACTACTTTCCCCAAATATCTTCCCCAGCCCCCAAAGCCTACAATTAAGTCACTACAATGCTTAAGCCCCTTTATGGATTTCATCCTCTATGCCTCACCATCACTCTGTGTTTTCTCCCAAGAAGGAAAGGGGTGACAGAGTCAGAGCAGGCATGCAAAGGAGAATGGGGTGGTTTGATTACTAATACAGGATGATCTAGCTATATCCTTATATGTCCTACTTCAAATAAAGACTTGCAGAGTCTGAGGGCAGCTATGCTCAGGGACAGCACTTCTTTTACATTGTTAGCTCTCCGGGACATGTACCAATTTTGGGAGTTTTGTACAAGGGAGTTCTGCTTCATGAAAAGGCATTTTAGGCACTAAAATACAATAATTATATGGTTTGATACCGCCAAGTTCATGCCAATCACTATATATCTGAATTATCTGCCCTCTAGAAAGACAGTATTTAACAGACACTCAAGTCCTGATGTATGCAATGTGTCTATCATAAACATCTCCCTTTCCTCCAAGCTTTCTTCCATCAAGCTATTCTGTAAATATTACTTTTGGAAAGTGGTGATCACTCATGACAAAAGTGAAACATGTTTCTTATTTAACGCACAATTACCTTTGCAGGCATAACTTGGCAGGTGCACCTGACATAAGAGCCAAAACTATTATTCTGATAACTATGCCTTCATATGTACATACATTTGGTTTGCAGGACATTTCCTACACAACACATTGTTAAAAATGAAAACAGCTTTCACATAAGAACAAGCATTTGTGTATCAAAAATGTCTTGGTTTTACCTGAATATATAGTTTATGTATTGTTGGTCTAAGTCACTGAGGAGAAAAATAAAAAGAGCCTTTTCAGTAATGCAGTTTAGTGACAGTACTTTCTATGTAGCATCAATTTAAAACATTAACATGCTATTTCTAATAAGTTTATTTAAAAGGTTTTGACATTATTTCAAGCTTGGGGCTCAATAGTCATTACTAAGGCAAAATTCCTGTTTGTACTAGATATGTTGTCTAACTAAGGACTGAGTCCTTTAATATCCAAACATAAAGGGAAATTGATTTTGAAAATAGTTTCAGCCTAACCATAATGTGTATATTATTAACAAGGTGCAGTTGTGTATGTTACAGGGGTTTAGTCCCCTAAATTTAAATGGTGGGTTTTTAATTGTGATTTCAATTTAGGGGCTTCTGTGACTGTTAGCGCGAGGGCCCTGTTCCTTTATTTTTTTCATGAAGCCTGTCCTCCTCTCCCACGGCCAGGGGGTGAGCTGCTGGTGGGCTGAGCAGCCCCTGAGCTGTGGGAGGTCCTGGTCCTTCCCTCTGCAGCAACGGCGACCCTGGGATTGGCTGGGTGGGCTGCTAGCATGTTGGGTGCTGCACCAGCTCAGAGGTGCCTGACTCAGCACTGCTCCCCAGGCGGGATTGGGGAAGAGCTGGATCTGCTGGGTGCTGCTTCCAAGCTAGGGCAACATCTGACTTGCTAGCAGCCCGCCCAGGCAGCCCTAGGAGGCACCACCACCACAGAGGGAAGAACTGAGGACCTCCACAGCTCAGGGCCAGCCAGCAGCTCGCTCCCTGACTGCAGGAAGGCTCTGTGTGTGTGTGTGTGTGTGTGTGTGGGGGGGGAGGAGTCAGTCCCCTCATGGCTTTTTTTTTTTTCCCCCAGAGTCTGCCTGTGTGAACTTCAGATGGGGTGGGCAGCCCCTGAGTTACAGTATTGGGGGAGGCGGTCCTTCCCTCCATGGTGGCAGTGCCCCCTGAGGCTGCCCGGGTGGGTTGCTAGTGGGCCAGATGCTGCTCCAGCTTGGAGGCAGCACCTGCCAGATCCAACACTTCCCAGAGCCTGGCCGGGAAGCAGTGCCCCGTGCGCTGTCCCTGCCACCTTGGATCACCTGGGAACTGGCTGGCTTGCCCTGGGGCAATGCAAGAAGGCAGCAGGAAGGCGGATGGTTGTGCTGGCGTCTGGTGGTACACAGAGCACTGGAAGCCCAAGCAGGCTCAGGGAAGCATTGGACCAGGCGCCTCTGAGTTGGGACAGCCCCCAGCCTACTAGCAGCCTGTCCAGCTGGCCCCACAGGGCACCACTGCTGCAGAGGAAGGACTGGGGCCCCCCCCCGCAGCCCAGGGGCTGCTCAGCCTGCCAGCAGCTTGCCCCCTGGCTGTGAGAAGAGGCGGGCAAGCTCTGCAAAAAAAAAAAAAAAAAAAATTAGTATTTGGCCCCTACCCACTTCAGCCTTCAGCCCACCTCTCCTGTGGCCAGGGGGTGAGCTGTCAGATTGAAGACTGCAACATTACAAGTAGCTACACTGCAAACTAAACTACATGGGGATGTGGTTTAGTTTGCAATGTAACAACCTCATTTAAAAATTGCCAGAAAACCCTATACGTGTAAAGTGTGACGCAATTAAACTGCAAAAATGGGCAATTTTTGTCGCATGTACAGGTGCCCACAGAATATACATATCCAGAGGAGCCACTGCAAATTAATGGTATGAAATATTTTGGCTCATTTGATTTGAAAATAAGGGCTCACATATACAACGTTACATAAACGCTGAAAGTGTTCACAGGACCAGAGATAAACATTTTCAGACTTGGGCACCTAAATCCTATTGAAACTCGATAAGTTCCAGGTGCTTTTGAAATGTTTATCCTGGATCTTTATATTCCAGAGGGAGATAGACACATGTAGATTGTGCAGTTCCCAAGTCCAAAACAAGATTCATAGATATTAGATTCCAAAATTCAAAATATTATTTCTGTTTAATGCCTCTGCCAGGAAGAGGGCTTTTTTTCCTGAACTGTCATGATTGATTAGTACTAGACTGTTTAAAGCAAATCTTGAGTCAGCAGCATACATTTTCTTCATGTACCACACAGTCAAGCATACCACAATGGGTGACAGTCAAAACAACTCATTTTATAAGATAAGTCACTGTTGCATGGTTGGTAGCCCTCAAAGAAAGATAATCCATCAAGGACCGGTTTATCTTGATAAGGGGGACATGCCTACAGTTCATTTGAGCTCTACATTACTGGATATCTTTATCCTTCAACAATAGTGATCCCTTTCCCTTAAAAACAAAATTTAAAATGGTTACCTTAAAGAACTAGGTTTCCACAACTTGTGAAATACTTTATATGCTCCTGTAATTGAAATGACAGTCATAACTGGTCTAGTACATGATTCTTTTGGTTAACTTGTGTTAATCTTACAACAGAACAAACAGGCAAGGGACTATTTGTATTTTGCAGCATCACAGAACAGAAGATGTCTACAGTTGCTTTGAAAATAACCTATAAAGTAAATATAATCTTTCCTGTTTGTTTGTGCTGCATCTTCTTCATTGTCTGCAGCCTCTCCAGCTCTAAAGTTTCCAGGTTGCTTTATATCTTTGATCTGCTTACCCATTTGTTTGCTACCATTTATATTTTGGCATTTGTATGCTGAGGAAAGTTTTTGCCAGTCCAAAAAGGAAAATAAAGCGTTAGGCATTAGTCTTTTAAAGCGCTTTTTTCAGGGTGTGTCTTGCTAGCTATAAAAGAAAAAAAGAGTCACAAAACAAAAAGCAAATCCATTGAAACACTGGGCAAAAAAAAATCATCTAATTTTTCCTTCCTTTAGCCAAACAGAAAGGCAGAATGTAGGACCTCTCTCTCCCATCTTTATTCTGCCCCAAACAGTCATGTGACAAGTAGGTACCCATTCATTTTGTACTTCACCATTTTTATTTTGTCATGGTGCTGTTGGTGGAACAGTGCAAGGAAGCTCTGTTTGGCCTACTGATGTTGAGCTGACATGTTCTTCAATGCCATGGAGGCACCTTGTTCAATTGCACAGCTTTCTTTTTACAGTAGAGTTTTACAGGCTCTGAGAGCGCTTGTCCATCTCTAAGCCAGCTGTGACTTATAAACTACAGTTTGTGACCCAAAGAGCTAGTGGGAAGGAAAAACATGGTTAATAGAAACATTTCCAAGGTAAATCCTAAAAATGAAATACCTTTGTTTCATGCAAAGGAGCAAATATTTACAGCATGACACTTACTGAAGAAAAACTATTCTTGCATATATTTGTAGTTCATTAGCATTGAAAATAGAGTCCCTAGACATTATAGAAGCATATAGTGAAATATAATCTCTCTGCTAAGGAGTTTACAATCTGATTTACAGAATCACCAACCTTTGCCCATACAGTAAGTCTGTGGCAGAGCCAGGGAATAAATACATTTTTTCTTTGATGTATCCAGCTCACTAGCCACAAGACTGCCCTTCTTATTTAAGTG